AAAGGTCAATGTACGCGCGAACACAAATTCGCGCGGCCCGCAACTAGCGGGCCTTCCCACAATACCTAATAATTTACAACACGTGTCTAAATACCTAACTTATCTACTTAACCTACTATTTTGCCACTGTGCTTATCTCCACGTAGCCACTTTAATCCGAATTTACAGGTTAAATAACCCAAATAACTGGTTGGATTCCCCGCTAATGAAGAAATACTTAAATGAAATGTAACCAAGGTTGGAGTCATGCGTTTTTATTCATCGTGTAGGTATGTTTATTATTCTCATGTATTCAGTTATGTACCTATTCAGATTAGTCTAGTACTAAGTTATTTAAAAAAAAATAGTTATGAAACAGCTTACTGCTCTAAATCCTCCGTGGTCTTATGAGATGCGGCTCAAATTGTGCTCCATTCATTTCAAGGCAGATTTGGGTGCAGGCGGGGCATCATCGTGTGGTCTTCGACACAGTCCGTACGTAGTTTCTCGAAAGCATCCACGATCCTTTGGCGCATTTCTTCAGCACTATCACATTCACGATTAAAAACCCTTTCTTTCACATACCCCACAAAAAGAAGTCTAACGGAGTCAGATCTGGTGAGCGAGGTGGGCAAGCGTGTGGTCCTAGTCTGCCGATCCAGCGATCATCAAATAGCTCATTGAGGCGCTCACGGACGAACCTCACGAAATGTGGAGGGGCACCATCATGTTGGAACTATGTGCGGCGATATTCAGCCAACGATAGGTCGTTTAAAATGTCAACCAACTGTTCATTTATAAAGTTTAGGTATCGCTGTCCGTTCAGTCGCTCTGGCAGAAACACTGGTCCCAGTATGCGATCCTTAAATAAACCTGCCCATACGTTAACCGACCATCGGGTTTGGTGCCCGGATTGTCGAACAGCGTGCGGGTTAACCTCTGAATACACGTGTGTATTTCTTCGGTTCCACAGGCCGTTTCTGGTAAATGTCGACTCATCCGTCCAGATAATGTGCTCAATGGAACCAGGCACACGTTGTTACTGGTATAATAACCAACGGCAGAAAACTCGTCGGCGGTCGTGATCGCCGGGAACTAAAGCTTGCACTTTGTGCAATTTGTATGGGCGCATTGGTTACGCTTCAACACTTTGTGCACTGCACAGTATGACACACTTGTTCCATCCCGACGTCTTAACAATTTATTTAGCGATACTTCGTGTACCTAGGTTCGGATACCTAACATGTTGACCACTATAAACGTACGCGTTAGGCATTATTAAAACAAAAAACAATCCAAAAACGTAACAAAAACTTTAATATCAACACGTAATCACAAGTAAATTTATTAAACAAAACGATTGAACTGTCGCTCGCGCACGCGTGTACAAAATCAACACGGAACTGTCTCAAAAACTAAAATGAACGAACCCCGTCAAAGCCGAAACCTACTGCGTCACAAGCGTGAGGCGACAGGGTTAGGCATTGTGCCGTCATAATAAAAAAGGAAGTAACTAACAAAAACGTAAAATGGAAATAAAAAATAAATTGATGAATTTTTCTTTTAGACCCCGTGTCTAAAGTATATTAAAAGGTATCTATATTGAAATATATACGTAGAGACATGAAGATTTTAAGGACGAACTTATTTTTTTTTTTAAATTTGTTTATTTATTTAAATAAAACGAATTTTCCTTTTCATCTTAGATTAAAAAATACACCTGGCAACACAAAAACATCGAAGGAAAGACGCATATAACTATTTGGGTCTTCCCAACCTAATAAATAAAACAAAACTACCATTCATTTAACATTTTTACATATTTTGGAAAGGTCATTTGAAGTTGAGAGGACGCTAATAGTAATTTACTACATTTTTCTTTGTAAATATTAGAAAAGCATTGGTAGTGAGACACAAAAAATAACAACCCGCAACTCTTGAGTAATGATTTTAAAGGGGATATCATACAAGACTTACTACGATAATAATTAAAAATTAAAACATTTGTACAACCGACTTTAATATAAATAATTAAGGATAACTCAAAAACTATTGGTCTGACCTCGATCAAATTTATATAGGACCACATGTGAAACACCAGCTCTTAATAATAAGATATAAGCTCTTAATAATAAGATATAAAATAATAAGACAAGAATAATTTAAATTTAAGTAATCGATGCAAATATTGTTAAAGATGACGTAGCAACTGGTTAAATAAGTCTTTTCTTTTATGTTGAATTTGTATAAGTCTTTTCTACTAATAAAATGTCATCTGTGATCAACAGCTACGTCTAAAATTCTGACGATAATTTCTAAAATATTGATATTAGTGAATATTAAAAAAATTTAGTAGATGCGTCTTCTTATCATGAGTCGAATGGTATATTTAACTCATTTATTCGAAAATTGTTAGATGCGCCCTTTTTTCTTATGACCGCAGCATTGTATCATACGGAGCTAGATACAGGTCGACAGCGGAGTGAGTGTGGGTACAGTCGCGTTCTAAAGTACTACATGGTATTGGGCTATTGTTTTATAATATTATAGTAATTAATTGTTTTATTGTAGAATCATAATAGGTGTTTTACTAGCTACTTAGAACTTTGGAAGAGGTGGGAATTAAAAATAGATAATGTTTACTTGAGCATTGTTTGTTATTTCTATCGTAAAATATAAAGTAGTTTGTAACAAAAAAACTTAAGCTAAGGGTGACACACCGTCCATTATGACGTCTTGGGTCACATGGAAGCCAGATGTTGATGGTGTGTTGGTGTTACTGGATGCTACTTCATGATCACTTTCATCTTCGCTTGAGCTTCCGTCATCAGGTCGATCACATGGTAATTTTTTCGGTATTCTTCCTCAACCATTTTAACTTTACTGCACAATTTTCCCCATTCACCTTCTCCTATCATATTTACCTTTTCGTTCACTAGTTTAGTCATAAAACAATAGATATAAATAAATTTTTTTCCTTCCTTTTTAAAACATCGTCGCGAGTCGCAAAGTAAGCTGTGTATGCGACTGTATTTTTGGAGCGAACAAAGCGCGGGAACCAATAGCATGCAGGCACAGTAATACTGGCCAATATGTGATAAATCGCTCAGTGCCCAAGTTCAAGGCCAGCGTTCGTTTTTCACCGTTCGCGCGTACATTAACCTCCATTAGTCAGGTGATATCAATTCAGTTTCCACTGCTGGTTTTATGTTTCAGTCTTTTCATGATTTTTTTTATGAAATTATCGTTTCAATTAGCTGTACTAACATGATGGCGCGTGAATAAAGCTAATAAAACGTTGTAAAAATATGTTTTTTTTTTTTCATCAGGATCAAATTTATTTATGACCCATGATCAAAGGTATACTTGGTGCTGTCGCCTGTCTTAGTTTTCGGGAGTGTTCCAAAAATACCCTGTATAAACTCTAAATTTACAGTGGCCTCTGAATGATTCCAACATTTCATCCACAGTGCAGTATTCCCCGGGTGTGTAATTTTGATTACAATGAGCAACAAAGCATTCAAAAATTTCTCGGATTGGTACCAGGAGGTCGGTTTCCTTTCTGTTATCACGAGTATTTATGTCATCGAATCGCAAAACCCGTAACAAAAATAAAAATCTTTTTATTGACATGGTTGCTCTAAAAAAATCACATGCTGTTCCATCATCTAGCCACATTGCCGGTGTTGAGCTGATTAAATATATCTTTAATGCATGGGAGAATTCACAGGATGCTTTGGGTATATTTTGTGACCTATCCAAGGCCTTCGATTGTGTTCACCATGAAATATTAATCAGGAAACTTCAACACTACGGTGTAAGAAGTGATGCCCTTAAATTAATTATTTCATATTTAAGTAAGAGAACGCAAAAAGTTGTCATTAACAATATGAGCTCTTCCGGATCGATGGTACAAATGGGCGTGCCTCAAGGCTCAATTCTCGGCCCCTTTCTGTTTCTTGTATACATTAATGACTTACCTTACATAGTAGGGGATAACCATGATATAGTATTATTTGCAGATGACACTTCTTTAATTTTCAAATTAAGTCGACAGTTACTAAAATATGACGAAGTAAATAATGCTATCTCTAAATTAGTAAATTGGTTCGATGTTAATAATTTGGATTTAAATGGCACTAAAACAAAATGTATGAAATTCGTGACTCCAAATGTCAAACAATTAAATACTAGTGTAATTTTAAATGGGGAGAAACTGAGTCTTGTAGATACCACCATTTTTCTTGGAATCACACTAGACGCGAAGCTTCAATGGAGCCCCCATATATCAAAACTAGCAAGTAGACTTAGTTCTGCAGCATATGCTGTAAAAAAGATTAGAAGTTTAACCAGTGTTGAAACAGCTAGACTAGTTTACTTCAGCTACTTCCATAGCATAATGTCGTATGGTATTTTGCTATGGGGACACGCAGCTGACACTGAAATTATATTTGTTTTGCAGAAGAGGGCCAGAGCAATTTATGATTTAAAGCCTAAAGAGACGCTGCGACAAAAATTTAAGGAAATTAATATATTAACTTTGGCCTCTCAATACATTTATGAAAATGTAATGTACGTACACAAAAATAAAAGTAGTTTTACAAAAATAAGTGATATTCATTCTGTAAATACTAGGAACAGACACAAGCTAGTAGTACCAGTTACTCGACTCCATCGAGTCAGTAATTCATTCTTGGGGCGATGTATACGCTTTTACAACAAAATTCCAGAAAATATACAAAGTTTGACCTGTTCAAAGTTCAAAAACTTTATTAAACTAAGTTTGTATAAAAAGGGTTATTATAATATTAAGGAATTTATGGATGATAATAACCCCTGGAAATGAGGTGATCGCTACCAAGCTATTTCTAATTTGTTGTGTTGTTAATTTGTGTAACATCATGATTATAAGCTGTTATTTAAAAAAAAAAGTCCCGCTGGGTTTCTTGCTGGTTCTTCCCAGGACAGAGGTTTTTTCCGAACCAGTGGTAATCAAACAAAAGAGTGACTTTCAATAAGTATTATTTATAATCTATATTGAATAAAAAAGTTTCTGTTTCTGTTTCTGTTTCTATTTCTTTTACATTTAAATGACAGATCTTTTTCAAGCCCGCCATGTACAAAACTCCGATCAATGCTTTTATTTCAACTGCATCTGTAAGTTTGCAATCCCGTTCACGTGAAAACTTTTCTTGTAGTTTAGTTATGTACACATTCGTGTACAGGACTACTTTGTCTTTCATGGTATCATCCACAAACAATGAGAAACATTGTAAAGGTTTTTTGGCATTCTTAGCTACATTTTTTACTCCTGGCAGGTGGATAACTATGTTATAACTCCTAGTACGTACGTTACGTAAAGGCTTGTGGATAAGCCATTTTGTGGAGCGATTTTTGCCAATATAGTATGGGATCCTAACTCTTTGTTGTTGAATTGCGGGAGCAGAAATATCAGCATCGTTTTCATCCGACGATTGCTCCGTATCAGTTTCGTGAGGACTACGGATGACAGAACTATCGCTTTCTATAGTGTCAACACGATATTGTTCCCCATTTTCAAGATCTGCATCCAATTCATCACCAGAATCCTCTTCCAACCACGAACGAATTTGTGCTTGCATTCGATCGTCCATTTTGTATCTGTAGTGTAGCTAGAAGAAAAATAAAAATAATAACATTATTACTAAAGAGTTTTTACATGATAATCAACTAATATAAATCAAACAAATAATAATAATAATTTAATAATAAGAAATAATATGGCAGAAATAACAATCTAACTTTTTTAAACCACAAAAATAAATACTTACACGGATGGACGCGTGATGAGCCAATTGCCGCACGTTGGTACACGGCCTCCACAAACGCCTTGCTGCGAGATCGAGAATTGCGTCAGGGTAGAGGGGGTGAATATTTTGGATGGTACTTAAGTGCTTGAATTGGTGTGGCAAGGGAAAGACAAAAAATTTTCGAATAAAATGTTTGTGTGAGCAAATTGCTCATAGCGCGCCTTCTCACGGGTTAAACCAAAAAAATAAAAAAAAAACTATGGATTTATTTTAAGATGTTACTGTGGAAAATATTATATGAAATTAATAAAAAGCAATTCGTTTTAATAAAAATATAGTTAAGTAATTCTAGATAAAATCCTATATGCATCACAGTAGCCACAGCTCTTGCGTAATATCAAAAGATTTATTTCAAAAGTTAATAATTAAGTTATTGTTAAAAAAAACGAAAGAAATGCAAAAAGATAAAATTATCTTATTTTATCCTGGAGATCCTAATCAGGATACTAGAATAAAAATTATATTATTGTATTGTCATCGTTTCTTGATACGAGTGCAAATTTTCAAGTCAATAAGTCTACAAGTTGGTGAAAATTACATTATAATATGCCGTCACATACATAGATTGATAGATAGACACGAAGCTAATATAAGAAGGTTAAAAATACAGTAGAGGGCCTTGCCAGTTATTCTCTGAGAAGGTTTTGTTTTTGCGAACTGGTAAAGGTTTTGACGTTCATAAGAGCTAAATTGAATAAAAACATTTCGACTTTTACATTTTTTTTCTCCAAAGATCTTCTTGTCGTTACGTAAATCTACATTCATTTGAAAATGGCGCTACGTCTTTTTGAAAATATTGAACACTAATCCCGAGTACTAGTAACGAGGAGCAGCATCATCAGTTCGAGGGTACGGCTAATGTTGATGATACGATGCATTTATGGTGCATTGATAAGGTGCATTGATAAGGTTGATGTTCTCATCAACCCGTATACCTGAGTATTTGACCTTTAAAATGATCATACCTCGAGGGATTGTCCTTGAAAACTATATAATAATATATTATGTACATATATTTAGCGCTGAATTAAGAAATGTTGTTAATGTAGGTATGTGATGGTAATAAAATCCCTTAATTTGTTGTGACAACATTCTTCTTCGCTGAACAATACACAAACAACACAAAAATTTGTATGCGGGTTTTAATAAAGTGATTTTTATAATATCATTTTGGAATCAAATGATTTCATCGCAAAGTCAAAAATAGAAATGGATTGGACTAGACTAGTGAGGACGGGTAGAACATAGTGAATAGAAGAAGAAGGGTTATAGAACAGAATGGAACTAAATACTTCCACTCGGGATCTTACATATTAAAATTAGTTCTTGGTAGTTTCAGCGAGGAAACCTTGGGATTATAATTACCTTTTTCCGATACGTTGGAATTCTAACTTACCCGTGGGTGTTAGATGAGTCGCCTATGCGAAATGCGAGAACACTAACGCATTATTTAAAGATATTTAGGTTTATTATAATTAAGTTGAGGTGTTGAAAAAGTTTCGTAGTTTCGACGGAAGTTATTAACTTGCTGAAGAATGTTAGTAAATTTATTTGAAAAAAATTCTTAGACTTTGTAAGGAAACTTCATTACAGACAAAGATGTACAAATATCTTCAAGATGATTTGGTGCATTATGTATGATGTAGTAATGTCGACCTCACTGTTATACAGCGACATTTACATTAGGGTCTAAATATCAACATTTCATTTCACATTGTATTTTAGAGAAAAAAATATTTCGAACCTAACTTACCTTAATTTTTTCACACGCATGCGCCCTTGCGGGGACATATACAAAATACACCCACAAAACACACATACTCAAACATTATATTTTAATTTGATCTTCTGTCTAATGAATAAGCTGGGTGCTGGGAAAGCTGGTTGTATTATGTTTTGCAGATGCGGCCGGGCCATTGAAAATTGAAAACAAAAAAGGGTCGGACATTGTCATGTCGGAAAATTGTATCTCGGCTGTTTTTACTTAGCAGTGACAATGAAAAGCATTTATTGTTAAAGTGTCACGCAGTTCCAAACAAACGCAAGCCTTTCATTCGTTTTGAATGGAGTACTACTCTATTTAAACTACTATATATAAAACGTATGACCTATCAAATTTTATTTTCTATATTGTCTTTTCTTCGGTTAATCTAAATGTAGAAAGGTGATGACTTAGTCATTATTTTAATGTGTATAAAAACTTTTTATTTATTTTCACACTACTCATACTAAATAACACCGGACTTAATGTACTATGGCATTTTCTACCAGCCAACCGGAAAATTTGTAGGAAAAGTATACAATGCGGTGGACTACAATGAAAAACAAATAATAAACATAAACATACAGATCTATATATCTATACTAATAAACAAAATTGAAATATCGGTCTGTGTTATAGAAATAACCGCCCTCAATTGAGCTGAAGGGATTATTTGCTTCCCATTAACACACTAATAGCTATTTTAATATTTTTGTCTGTCTGCCTGCTGTGTCTGTGTGTCTGTCAAGTATAATCTTCTAAATGGCTTAACTAATTGAAATTAATCTTGACGAACAGATAGAGAGCAATTTCATGGAGTAATCTAAGATTTTATTAGAAAAAAAAATCAAAAATTTATAAAATGAATAATATTTCATGATAATCTTATATAAATAACGCCATATTAATAAATACTACCCAAGCGGAGCCGAGTCGAGTCGCTAGTAAAACATAAAATATATACACATACCTACATATTATGTATTTATGTTCTTATGTAATGTATTAGTAGTTTAAAGTCGAATCAGGATACATTATGTTAAGCTTACAACCTAAATACGTCACTGATGGGCGCAGGTAATAAAGGAGCAGTTAGTATACTTGTGTAATTTTACATTGTATTCAGGTTTCTACAAATAAGCGACCTGCTTCTTATTGCCTAATAACAAATAGTGGCAGGTACACATATTTTTAATTTATTTTTACATTAACAACGTTAATGATTTTTTGGCTTTTTTTCGTTAAATATGCCTTGCTTTGTTATTTTTAATTGTATTGGGGTTTCTATAAATAAACGAACTCCCTATTAACGGCAAATCAGATATCGTATACACATAATATTAAATAAAAATACTTGGTTAGTGATTTTTTTTTTGTAATTTTTATATAATTTAGGCACAATATCATCAAAAAATAATGTTCGAATAAATCAAAGTCAATAAATAGTCTACATATATGACACAACTGATCTGACAGATTATCAAATAAAGAAAAAAAGACAAGATCGCAACTTCAATTATTTTTGAACAGTTCGGATTCAGAAGCGATTGATGGAGCACCAAGATTTCATAGCCTTTGCCAGATATCTTTTTGCCGGAAAATCCAACTGTCGAAGTTGAGTAACAACTGTGGCAGCGTCATTTTCGGGCGCACTGAGATTTTGAATGAGATTGCCAGGCTTACGTCCTAATAATGGTGTGTCATTAATAATTCAAACAGATACAGCCATTTTCAGATTCACTCATCAAAATCTACGACCTTTAATCATGAAATTTTAAAGGTAGTAAGAGCTCACAGTACAAGTTACGATAAAATTCCATTACATAAAAAATACTTCTTTTTTTTCTTAATCGTTATTGATTATAGAGGGTTAGATCCACCAGATCATTTCACCCTCATAGGTACAAAATCAAATACACATAATTAGACAATGATACATTCACGTAAAAATTAATAAAAATTATCTGTTCTTAATACCTAACAATACTATCTTATAGTTTTCTAGCTTTATCCGACAATGGAAAAGCTCAGATACTGTTATACAATTCAACACTATTTTTGTCAAAACCCAATAGTTTTCTATTTGCTTAGTTCCGTTCGCATTCAATCATAATATGAATAGAATTTTCCAGAACTCCACATTTGACACAATTTGGTGAATTCACTTTTTTCATCATAAACGCAAATTTGTTTAATGGAACAAAGAGCAAAGTTTTTTACAGAACGAAGCCTGAACATATTCCATTAAAGCCTAGCCAGAAATTTCTGGCCTTAATATGTTGTTATTAAAACCAAAGTAAGCGAAAAAGATGCAGTTGTATCGTCTTGTACCAAATACCTTTTGACAGTGATCTTTCATCAAAGTATTCGGACCACTTTTCTGTACAGTTTTCTTGGAATTTATATAAGAGTTTAAAGAAATAAGGAACATAATCGATATTCTTCCTATCACTTATCACCTCTTTAGCAAGAACTTCTACCGCCTCACTTTCCTCAAAACCAATATGGGAAGGCACCCACTGTAAGACCATCCTTTTATGATGGGGTTGTTATAAACTAATTTGCTTAATTCCGCGTAAAGAAAGAAAATGAAATTAACAACAAACTAGTAGTTTGTTGTTAATTTCACAGCAAATATCGGCGTACGTCAGGCGGTGATTTATCGCATGACGTAATCGTTCGCTACGTAATTGGAGCGCGGTTGCGTCAGCAAGTAGTATAAATAGCAGTAGTTTCGGCTCGCCGCTCACTTAGCGGCCAGCCTCCGCAGAGTCTACTTCACCTGAGGATGCCTCGTGTAGAGGCGAAACACGTGTCGTATTTTTGAGAGTGGTGTGTCGTGCCTAGTGTGCTGGTGCTGGGGGTGGTAGTGCTGGGATTAACGGCGACGGCTATAGTGCGCGCGATTGAGGGATGGTGGGAGGTCCCCTTAAAACTGGGCAGGACACATCATTTTCTTTTTTTACGCGGAATTAAGCAAATTAGTTTATAACAACCCTATTATAATGGATTTCTGCAAAGT